AAGAACAGAAAGAAGAAAAAGGAAAAGAATAAGAAGAATAAGAAGACAGAATGCGAGAGCTAGACCGTTTAGCACAAGAATTATCAAAGGAAAGGAATATGAAGCCATCTCCCTCTCGCGACACGCCGCGCGCTCATAAAAGGGCCATTCGCGGACCGACATCTGGCCCGGCCGCTTGTTCTGACGGATTTTGCCAAGGGGGGGAAGGGGGAGGGAGGTGGGGGAAGAAGTTGTGGTGATGGGGGTGGAGGGGAGGAGGGTTGGTGGGGGGAGGTGGGGGAGGTATTTTGCTAAGGGGGAAGGGGGAGGGAGGTGGGAGAGGGGGTGATGTTGGGAAAAGAGGGGGAGTAGAAGTGATGTTGGGGAAGGATGGGGAGGGAAGGGGAGAGAAGGGGTGATGTTGGGGAGAAGGGTGGTGGGGGGAGAGGTGGGGAGGAAGGGGGGTGGTGGGGGTGATGTTGGGTTTAAGTTGGGGGGGGGGAAGAGAGGAGAGGTGGGGAGGAAGGGGGAAGTGGGAAAGGGAGGAGGGGGGAGGGAAGGGGAGGAGGGAGTGATGTGGGGAGAAGTGGGGGGGGGAGATGGGGAAGGGCTGATGGGAGGAGGTGGTACGTGGGTGAGGGGGGGATGGGGACAGAGGAGGGGGAGGGAGGTGGTGAGGAAGGTAGAGAGGGAATATATGGTGAGGGAGATGATGGGGAGGGAGGGAGAAGTGGGGAAGAAGGATGGGAATAAAGCGCGATGTTGGGGAAGTAGGGTTTAATTGGGGAGGGAAAAGGCAAGGGAGATGTAGAGATGGAGGAAATAAAGATGGAGGGAGAGGGAGAGGGAAGACAAATAGATAAATGGGGAGATAAGGGAAACAAGAGGACTGGGGGTGAGATGGAGAAGGGGGGGGGAGGGAGATGAAGGGAGGAAAGGTGGGGAGACGAAGGGTGGGCGAGGGGGGAGGGGGGTGAAGAGGGAAAGGGAGATGAAGAAGAAGAGAGGGAAGGAAAATGAGAGAAAGGGGGGGGGGGGAGAGGCAGGACAGACAAAAAAAAAAAAAAAAAAAAGACGAGAAAGAAAAAAATGAAAAAAAAAACACAAAACGTAGAAAGAATAGATGAACAGAGAAAGGAAAGCAGGGAGACAGAAGAGAAGGAGAAAAAGAAAGAAAATAAGAGAGAGAAGAGAACCGGGGAATCGAAGAACGGAGAATGTTAAAGATTGAAAGATGAAGTTGTAACAACCATTAAACCTTCGTATTACTTGTGAGGTTGAAGACCCTTTTTTTTAGGGGGGGGGGGGGTAGATAAAAAGGATGGGTCAAAGCTCTTATCTTCAAGGTTATTTGTAGTTCTGTGTCACCAGAATGGACATAAACGCGGTGAGATTGTGGCTTTATGAGCGGCAGAATATCAAAATTTTCAGGTGTGTCTCCTCCTTCTCCTTCTCCTTCTTCTTCTCCTTCTCCTTCTCCTTTTCTTCTTTCTCTTTTTCCTCTTCTTCTTCTCCTTCTCCTCGTTCTCATTTTCTTCTTCTTCTTCACCTTCTCCTTCTCCTTTTCCTTTTCCTTCTTCTCCTTTTCCTTCTTCTTCTCCTTCTGCTTTTGCTCTTTCTCTTCTTCTCCTCCTCCTCCTCCTCCTTCTCCTTCTTCTCCTTCCCCTTCTCCTTCTCATTTTCCTTCTTCTCCTTCTCCTCCTGTTCCTTCTCCTTCTCCTTCTCCCTCTCCTCCTTCTCCTTTTCCTTTTCCTCGTTTTCCTCCTCCTCTTTCTCAGCATGTTCTTTTTCTACTTATCTTTATGATCGTATAGTTTAATAGTAGTAGTTGCTACAATATTAGTAGTAGTAGCTGCAACTACAATAAAACAACAGCAACAACAAATTTAGTAATAGACAGATAGACAGACAAAGAGACAGGCAGACGGAAAAGAGAGAGAGAGAGAGAGAGAGAGAGAGAGAGAGAGAGAGAGAGAGAGAGAGAGAGAGAGAGAGAGAGAGAGAGAGAGAGAGAGAGAGAGAGAGAGAGAGAGAGAGAGAGAGAGAGAGAGAGAGAGAGAGAGAGAGAGAGAGAGAGAGAGAGAGAGAGAGAGAGACAGAGACAGACAGACAGACAGAGAGAGACAGACAGACACAGAGACAGAGAGAAACAGAGCCAGGGATGGATAGAGGGAGGGAGGGTGGAGGGTGGGAGGAGAGAGAGACAGAGCGAGGGAGTGAGAGACAGAGAGAGAGAGAGAGACAGAGAGACAGAGACAGAGACAGAGAGTCAGACAGACATAGAAACAGAGAGAAACAGAGCCAGAGACAGACAAACAGACAGAGAAAAAAAGAGAGACAAACAAACATAACAAACAACGAAGTAACCAGAGAAACATACAAGAAACAAACACATGAATTGGTACTCACCAACATCTAAGATTCTCTGCTTGACTGAATGCTGTCGACTGTGCCAAAACTGCCAGGCTTTGATCTCATCTTCGGGAGTTTTTTCCTCTCGGAACATCAGCATCACTACGCTCTGTTGTGAAAGAAAGAAAGAAAAAGGTGTCGTTAGGATATTGTGAAAGAAAGAAAGAAAAAGGTGTCGTTAGGATATTGTGAAAGAAAGAAAGGAAGAAAAAATTATCATTGGGATGTTGTGAAAAGAAAGGTTTTTATTGTTATCATTATTTATATTATCCTTATTTATATTTACTTATATGTTTATGTTTATTCATCTATGTATTTATTCACCTGCTTATTATTTTTTCAAGCTTTTCAGGGACGGATAGATTTGGACTTTTAGATGAGGAAATCAAATCTATATGATAAGACATATATTTGAACTCAATAATAGTGTTTATGAAGCCTTAAAGCTGAATAAAAAATCATAAAAGTGTGTAAAAGAACTTTGTTATCAAGACACGTTTATCTTCCTCATTATCTGTGAACTGGATAATTCCGTCTTATCAAGTATTTATTGTATCATGATTTATTTGCTGACTCAACTTCATTTATTTGTGAACAGAAACTTCCCTTGAATATCTATTTCAACATCATTTCATCACCAATCTCAGCATTTGATTTCTTCTCCGGAAATGACGTCACACAACCGGTGTAAATATCAGATATTTGAATACAAGTTTCCTCACCCCTCCCTCCCTCCCTCCCTCTCTCCCTCCCTCCCTCCCTCCCTCACGACGCCTTTTTCCACATCCCACACATAGAGCCATCCCCCTTCCCCCCTCCCCCCTCCCCATGAACCCCTCCACACCCACACGACCCCCCCCCCCACCTCCCTTCCCCCTCTCCCCTCCCTCCACCCTTCATGAACACACGAAAATCAACACTCTCCCCCCCCCCCCACACACACATATCCCCTCACCTCCCCTCCTTCTCTCGCCTCTCCCTCTACCCCCAAACTCCCCCCCCAACCCCTATCCTCTCTCCCTACCCCTCCACCTCCCTCCAAACCCCCACACCCCTCCCCCTCACACCCACACGCCGTCTCAAGAGCTTCCGAAAAGGTCACAGAGACGGGCCACAAATACCAAAGGAAAATGAAACACAGTCAAAGACACGCATTAATCATGTCGAATATTCATAGAAAAGGTCACGATACGTACACCTCCCTCCCTCCCTCCCTCCCTCCTTCATTCCCTCCCTGCCTCTTCCCTTCCCTCCCTCCCTTCTTTCCTTCCTTCTCTCTTTCTCTCCTTCCCTTCCTCCCTCCCTTTTTCTTTCCCTTCCTCCCTCCCTTCTTTCTTCCCATCCTCCCTCCCTCCCTCCCTCCCTTCCTTCCCTCCCTCCCTCCCTCCCTTTTTCCCTCCCTCCCTCCTTCCCTCCCTCCCTCCTTCCTTCCCTCCCCCCCCCCCCCCCCCCCCCCCCCCCCCGCGACCCTAAAAATCCTGCACAAACAATAACTCAACCAAAGGATTCTCTCCAACCACACAGGAGCAGAAACCAGAGTCCAGGTGGATTCATGATCTTATGGCATTTATGACCGCCGGCCGGAGTGGGGGGGTGGGGGGAGGAGAGGATGGGGGAGGGGGGAAGGAGGGCGGGTGGGGGAGGGAAGGGGGGAGAAGGAGAGAGAAGGGGGAGGAGAGGATGAGGGAGGGAGAAGGAGGGCGGGTGGGAGAGGGGAGGAGGTGGGAGAAAGGGAGGGGAGGAGGGGAGGGGAGGGGTGGGAAAGGAGAGGGGGATGGCAAGGGGAAGGGAGAGGAGGGAAGGAGGTGGGGGAGAGAGAAGGAGGAGGGGGGGAGGGGAGGGGGGTTAAAGGAGAGGGGGAGTAGAAGGGGAGGGAAGGGGAAGGGGAGGAGAAGGGGGGGAGGGTAAACGGGAGGGAGTGAAGGGACGAGGGAGAAAGGAAAAGGAGGAGCGAGAAGTAGAGGAAAGAGGAAAGTAATAAGTAGAAGGAGTAAGGAGAGAAGGAGAGGAAGAGAAGGGAGGAGTAAATCGAGGGAGTAAAGAGAAGGGGAGAGAAGGAAGGAGGGGAGAGAAGGAAGGCGGAAGGAGGAAAGAGGAAGGAGGGGAGAGAAGGAAGAGAGGGAGAGAAGGAAGAAGGGTATAGAAAGAAGGAAGGAGAGGAGAGGAAAAAGAAGGTGGGAGGATGAAGGGGAAAGGAGAGGAGACAAGGAGGACGAGGAAGGAGAGCGGAGAAGGAAGAAGGGGAGAGAAGAGAGGAAGGAGGGGAGAGAAGGATGGAGGGGAGAAAGAAGGAATGGGAGAAGGAAGGAAGGAGGGAGGAGAGAAGGAAGGAGAGAAGGAAGGAGAGAAGGAAGGAAGGAGAGAAGGAAGGAAGGAGAGAAGGAAGGAAGGAGAGAAGGAAGGAAGGAGGGAGGAGAGAAGGAAGGAGAGAAGGAAGGAAGGAGGGAAGAGAGAAGGAAGAGGGGGGGGGGAGAGAAGGAAGGAAGGAAGGAGGGGAAGGAGGTGAGGGGGAGGAGGAGGAGGAGGACTGATCCCAAAGCGCTGTATCCTTTTGTTTACAACGGGGAACCCCATACCGCGGTCTCCCTCCCCACTTACATCGTGTGAACTGGGTAGCGCGGCGCAAAGACAGCGGGGGGGGAGGGGGGCAGGGGGGCAAGGGGGCAGGGGGGGGGAGGAATAAGAGTGGTAATGAAGAGCTTTTACGTAGGGTGGGGAGGGGGAGGGGGAAGGGTATAGGGAGGAGGGGGAAGGAGGGAGGAGGAGGAAGGAGGGAGGAGGAAGAGGAAATGGATAGGTGAATGAGGGAGGGGAAGGTGGGTGGATAAGAAGAAGGGGGGGAGAGGGAGGAGGAGGAGGAGAGGGAGGGGGAGGAGGGGAACGAGGGAGGAGGAGGAGGAGGGGGATGGGGTAGAGAGGAGGGGAATGAAGAGGAGGAAGAAGGGAGTGGGGAAGAGGGAGAAGGGGGGGGAGTAGGTCAGGTAAAGGGAGGAGGGGGAGGGGGAGGGAGAGGAGGAGGCTTGGCTGACGTGGTTTTTGAGAATTGTGAAAAGCATGTATACATATCTATGTACGTGTTGATAAATGTGTACATGTGCGTATAACATAAGGTATTCATAAGGTATGTAAGGACGTGGAAGGAGAAATAGAGCGAGGGAGGAAGAAACAGAGAAGCAAAGAAAGAGTGAGACGAAAAGGGAGAACGAGAGAGAGAGAGAGGGAGAAACAGACAAAGCGAAAGAACGAAAGGAAAAGCAAGAGAGAGAGAGAGAGAAAGAGAAAGAGAGAGAAAGACAGAAAAAGAGAGAGAACGAGAGAGAACGAGACAGAGCGAAAGAGCGAGAAAAACGAAAGAGAGAGAGAGAGAGAGAGAGAGAGAGAGAGAGAGAGAAAGAAAGAAAGAGAATAAGAACGAGTGAAGGGAAGCAGCGAAGGGCAGAATAGGGGGAGGAGGGGGGAGGGGCGGGGGGGGGGGGAGGGGGTGGCTATAGTATGCCAAACTCAATGCTATTGTGAACAGATTATCCTCAGCAGAGAAGCATAGGGTCGTATCCAGCGATGTGGTAGCGGGTGGGGGGGTGGGGGGGTGGGGGGGAGGCAGTGGAGGATAAAGATGGTGAGGGAGGAGGAGGAGGAGGGGGGGAGGGTAAAGATGGTGAGGGAGGAGGAGTGGGGGGGGAAGGTAAAGATGCTGAAGGAGGAGGAGGAGGAGGAGGAGGAGGAGGAAGAGGAGGAGGAGGGGGGAGGGTAAAGATAGTGAGGGAGGAGGAGGAGGAGGAGGAGGGAGGATGGTGATAAAGATGGTGAGGGAGGAGAGGGTGGAGGAAGGACAGGTTGGAAGGATGGAAAAGGAAGAAGAGAAGGGAGGCAGTATAAGATGGGGGAAGAAGGGGGAAGTGGGAGGGAGGAAGATGAAGAGGGAGGAAGAGAAGAGAGAGAGTATAAAGTGAGAGAGGGGGGCGGGGTAAAGATGGTGAGGGAGGGTGGAGGAAGTAAGACGGAAGAAAGATGAATAGGGAAGAAGAGGAAGAATTGAATATAAGGCAAAAGAGCAGACGAAGGGGAATAAGGAAGATAAGGGAGGAAGAGGAAGTAAGAATGGAGAGGAAGGGAGAATGGGGCGGAGTAAGAATGGGGAGGGAGGAAGAGAGAAAGGAGAGAGGGAGAAGAGAAAGAGAGGAGAAGAGATGAGAGAAGGGTTAAGGAAAATGAGTGAAGTTTGAAGAGAAGGAGAGAAGGAGAGAGAGGAGGAGAGAGGAGAGAGAGAGCGAGAGAGAGAGACACCCGGAAGGAAACAGCAGGAGAGAGGAAATCGCTAAGGAGAGAGAACGGAAGAGAGAGAGGGAGAGGGAGCGAGAGAGAGAGAGAGAGAAGGATTCAAACGCCACACTAGACTGTAAAGAGCAAGAAAGCACGTAAATCGCCCTCGACGGAGGAAGAGAAAGGACCAGGAAGAGTAGAGGAGAGAAAGGGAGGCGGAGGTGAGGGTCACATAGGGCAAGAAGACCGAGAAGAGGGCGGGAGGGGGGAGAGGGTGTTACAGTAGGACAGAGAGATGAAAGGGACTAATGGAGGAGAATAAAAGACACTAATGGAGGGAGAATAGACGGGTCAGGTGATCCCGGAGAAGAAAGTGAGGAAAGACGGAGAAGGAAAAAGATCTCTCCCCGGATTTCTAATACTCTTCTTCTTCTCTCCTTTTTCCTTCTTCTCTCTCTCTTCTCTCTCTCTCTATCTCATCCTCTCTCTCTCTCTGCTCTCTCTCTCTCTCTCTCTCTCTCCTCTCCTCTCTCTCACTCTCTCTCTCTCTCTCTCTCTCTCTCTCTCTCTTCTCTCTTGAAAGAGGAAGATAGAGAGAGAAGAACAGAGAAAGATAGAGAAAGAGGAAAGAGAGGAGACAGAGAAGAGCCGAGTGAAGATGAGCAAACAAGAACTACGGTGGACAAGAAGAAAGGACAGAACGGGCAATGGGAGAAGCAAGGGTAAAACGAGAAGGGAAGAGAGGAAGAACAGGGGGAGGAGGAGAAGGGGGAGGTAGGGGCTGAAGAGGAAGAAGAAGAGCAGAGGAAGAAAAAGAAGAAAAAAAGAAGGAGAAGAAGAAGAAAGTAA